TCGTTGGATAGAGAATTGAAAAGTCGATTCAGTCGTAACAACGTTAGTGAGGAAATGCGAGTAGTTTTGACCCAGAAAGCGAAATTTGAATATCAGACACTTAGGTGCAAGATTAAGCCAAAATTTCATGTTTTCCGTCCCGTTTTTGCTCATTTCTCGGAGGCAAAATGAGCAAGAACGCTCGTTTTTACAGCATCTCAAAGAGAACTAAATGGCCTTTTTAGAAAGTGAACCATCGATGAGGAAATGGTGCAGTTTTCTCAAAAAATGCTTGAATTCACGAAGTTTTAGATTTGCGTAATTTTTTTTCTGGATCCGCCCTTTGTTACAGGGTGTTTGAAATTGGACAGTTTGGATGATAGGACGCCAGTCACTTGATTTAAAAAGCAGCCGAAAAACCGACACAGCTGGTGGAAAATAAGGAAGAGTTGAAATGTTTGAGAACGTGCTCTACAGTGTGTCCGCATCCACATGGACAATAACAAAATGCCCACTTTTGGACACAGTGTAGAGCAAATCCTCAAACATTTTAACCTGTTTTCAATCTTTTCCGCCACCTGTGTAGGCTTTATGCAAAATCGACCGATTGAATAATCGAGGTTACACACTGTAATTAAACACTTAAAAAATCTTACTAAACCGTTTGTCTCCTAAATTCACTTTTGCCAACATTTACGTAACGGATTGGAATCATTGTGTTCTATGCAAATTAGAGGTTGTAACGAAACGAAATAATTTCCGTTCTCATTGCAAAATAGTTATAATTCATCCTGATTAAAAGTTGCATAAAAACGAAACGGATATTTCCAAGTGATCGGGTCCTATTGCCAAATCCATAATCAAAAATCGCTTCTAACAAAGTGACTTACTTAGCGTGGAGCGTTTGGGCAGTGGAAGCTCCGTCTCAGTAGGTTCCCTCTTGATCTGCGCTGATTCCACCTTCTGATCGTGTAAGGATTGTAATTGCGCCAAGTGCGATTGAGCAATGGGTGGAACAGGGGGTTGCAAGGGTTGCGTCGATAGGCCTGGCGGCTCGTCGCTGGGCGGCTTCTGTTCTATCGATGGTAAACTGGGTGGTAAAGGCGTCGAGTCGTCTCCACTCAAAGACGGCGTCTTATTTTCGAACATTTGAGGTGGCATGTCGCGAATTTTGTGCGTCAACATGTGTTGCTTCATGTTGCCCTGGAAAGTTAGTCAATATAAGTGTCGCTCCAAAGACTTTTCGGAGAGTGAAGCGTTCGTTAGTTGCGAGTAACCAGGAAGGACTTAAACATTAATTACATTATTGTATTGTTACAGGTCGAAGCCGCGACCTATTTGGACATCTTTAGCTCTAGTGATTTGGAAAATTTAGCTATGCAAGGTGGGAAAGGTTGTGTGGCTTACCGCCATCTGCATCCAAGTTGAGGCGTATCCGGGGCTCATCGGTAAAGGGAATACCGAGGGGATGTTGCGGGACGGAGGTTTTCTGGATCGAGCCTTCCAAGGCTTTGCGTCCTCCTGGATACGCCTCTGCTTGTTGCAGTCACAACCATCCTGAAATGTACAGTATAAGTCAATCAGGCACGGATACATGCACTACCTTGCATTTCTAAATTTAATATTATCTATTTAGATTTAATAAGATGATTGAAACGTTAGTCCATACAATACAATAGAGCTGGAGACATCTGAAATTAACTGCTGGCAAACGGCCAACTGTGAGTTATGTCGCACGTCTAAGTGGTCTATTTTTGATGGAGGTTCTTATTTTTATGTTAAAATGCACTTTTTAACTTGTCGTCATTAACATCTGAAGTGATTGCCGTGAAAAATGCAGACGGATTCTTCAGAATTCGGTTTCATTGCTGCAAAGTTTATTTTCGACGGCAATTATTCAATATTTATTGCAGTCGGATATTCGTTTTCGATTAAAAACCGCTATGTAAATGGCACATTCTTCTAACAGCTTTCTTGAACTTTGCGCCTATTTTTAAACGCCTTATTATTCATCCCGATGAGCAGAAATAGTCCGCCGTGCATTAATGGCATTCTTCTTTGTCGCGATCATTACAAATCAGATTCATAACGAGCTTATTTCGTGTGCTTTTAGACGTTGTTGTTTGCAAATTAAACTCGCGCACTGTTTAATCTGCATAGTTTGCCCCAGCATGGAATGGCAGGTATTCACATGCTATGTAATGGAAAAATCTTCCACTAGTAGCATCCGATTGGAAAACCCTGTAATCGATAATAAATCGATATAAATAAACCAGTGAGTGTTCTTCACTAATTGGCCAAGAGCAGTTTCTGCAGATTACAGAATGGCCCTCTCATAGAGAGTGAAGCGTATTTATTCCATTCCTGTCGGAAGTTCTACTGTACTTTCGTCCATAGCCACATTAAGAGCCGCTAGATGAGTGGACTTTCATGTGAGTTGAAGATGAGGAATTTAAAAATTTCCCACGTATTCAGCCATTTCTCTTTGAAATCGCCAACCCAAAACTTTCAAGAACAGGTAGCGGCTGAATGTTTCCTTCCTGAACCGTTTCTTTCTTTCTTTCATTCATTGGCTTAATGAAATTGAAGGGTTTCTTTCCAATCCGTCTCAGCAAGTGTTCCACTATGAAAATGATAAATGTTTGCTCCATATTTTTGCTACCTTCGAACCATCTTCAATTCTAAGCAGGTTGCTCGCCTTTGGAGATGAATATCGCCGAGGCAGTTTGTGTTCTTCGTGAAATTATACCCTTTAAATGATTTATTGTCCTGCTGGGTGAATTATGGAACATACAAAACGAGCTCATAAAGTTTCACGCTTTCATTGCTATGAATAGTTGACTATTTAGGGTGATTTAGGTGACGCCAGACTCCGTTTTTCGGCAACGCAACTTTATGCGGGTACAATTGAAAAAGTGTTAAAAATATTCAAAAAACATGTGTAGCAAAGCAAACGTGCATAAGTAACAGATGGAAGTTAAAAAGGAAAACACTGGCCAATCCAACCTTAAAGCCCACCTAAACATTAAAAAATTGTTTTACCTTTGTAGAGAAACCTCGATCGCAGACTGAACATTTGAATGGTCGCTCTTTCGTGTGACTTCGATAATGTATCTCAAGAGCTGAATGGCAAGCGAATGTTTTGAAGCACAGATTGCAGGTGGTGTTGCCGCGCCCTAAACAGGAAGGATATCAGTTAAACATATATTTTGCTTAAGAGTTAGCTGAAGAGTAAAGGTACTTACCCAGGCTGGCAGCAGCAGCCCCAGATAATCGCAAAGATCCAGGCGAGATGTACGAAGATTGAGAGACTTGGGGTAGAAATCCAAAGGCCGAGAATAGTGAAGGTGGAGGTCCTGGACTGGGTCCAGGACTGGTGATTATGGGCTGATTTTGATTTGGTCGGGGCGTTAAATCCAGGGCTCCCATTGAATTACAGTCGGAAGTTGTGGGGCTTCCAGCACGCTGCGACGACGGAGGTCTGGGGACCTTAAAAGAGCACTTTTCTAAGCATTTCATATTGCCGATCAAGAACTCAACAATAGGGTAAAAGCAAGGATTTTCACTAGGAGGAGTTAAGAGTTAGGAATGAGCGGAGATCTATTACTATAATGGCACCGCAACAGTTTTTCTATTGAAATAATTTATAAAAAAGAGAGGACTCTCTTGAAAATAGACAAATTGAAATAAACTTGAAATAGAAGACGAAATTTGAATATGATATTCAGGATTAGGCCAAAATGTTATGCATTATGCCACTTTTTTGCCCATTTGTCAGCATCAGATTGAGTGGAGCATTGGATAGAGGATTAAATGGCACATTTTGACTAATTAAGGCATGAGCTCTGGGGCTAGCAGATGAAGCAATAAGCCGGAGGAGATTGAAAAAATATTATGAGAAAAGTGCGAAGATGGTGATTATAATTAGAAGATAATAAAATTAAGCTCTAATGTATTTTTTGAAATCCGAACTTTTAAAGGACATTTTCAGTTCGTTGAAATTTTGTTGGTTTTAAGTGTTTTATTCGCGTTTTTTGTTTAGTCAACATCTTGAGAAAATCAAAATTAATTCGCTTATTAATTGTAAAGAACAATAATTGAACAATTGTAAAGAGCACAATCATACCTGCAACTGCAGGATCAACATTTTCTATTCGAAGTGGATTTTCGCTCTGTGAAAGTGTAGTTTTTGAACGTTAATGGGTAGAATATGGAGGATAGGGCGCCAGCTTGCGACTTGGGCGGCTTTACATTTTTACATCAAGCTCATCTGAAGCTTTTCTCTAAATAGCCGCTTCACATATGGAAATTTGGGTTCCAATATTCAAAACAAGAAGCATCAGCTTACTGATAATGTGGTTTGGTGCCGATTAAAGCATTGAGTCTTTCGCCAGAAATTTTTAAACTTTGGGAATATTTTGGGCGGCTTTGTATTTTGACATCAAGCCCATCTGAAGCTTAACGCTAAAGTACTGCTTAAAATATGGAAATTTGGGTTCCAGTATTCAAAAGAAGAAACATCAGCATACTGGTTGAGCGGATTTGGTTCCGATTAAACCATAGATTACTTCGCAAGAAATTTTCAAACTTGCGAAATATTTTGGGCGGCTTTGTATTTTTACATCAAGCTCATCTGAAGCTTTTCTCTAAATAGCCGCTTCACATATGGAAATTTGGGTTCCAGTATTCCAAACAAGAAACATCAGCTTACTAATAATGTGGTTTGGTGCCGATTAAAGCATTGAGTCTTTCGCAAGAAATTTTTTAACTTTGGGAATATTTTGGGCGGCTTTGTATTTTAACATCAAGATCAGCTGAAGCTTGTCTCTAAAGAACTGTTGCAGATACGCAAATATGGATTCCATTTTTATGCGTTTTTGTCAAAAAAAGTCAAGATTTTTAGTTTTTTCGGTTTTTTTTATTGCAAAATCGATGATCAGTTGCATAGAAGCGATCATTTTCAAGTCAACATTTACCAAATGTGCAAAAATCAGGATTCCATGTGATTTGAATGAATTTTTGAAGATTTGAATGTTTTCTGTAAAAAATAACGAGCTTTAGTTCTGCCTTTTTTTATTGCGAAAAGCGTCTTCTTCAGAATGTCGATCTTTCAAGTTTCTACTGACTTTACTTTGGAAGTCGGGATTTTTGATTGAAGAGTGTGCAGTTACGTAAAAGCGTTTATTTTGAAGTCAACATTGACGAATCGCGTAAAATTCAGGATTTCATGTGATTTGAGCGTACTGCACTCTCCTTTACCGGACGCACGCACCACTCTGAACGTGTGAACGTGAATTTTTCGTTTCTGAGAAACTGATTTTCGGGAAACGCGAATTTTTCAATTCATAGGCAACATTTTCTTAACGATGAGTGAAGTTCGAAATTTTGAGGACATTTAAGTAAAGCGCACTCTTCTTAACCGAACGCACAAGGTGGTAATGACAAGTGAACAACATAAAGTCTTGTGGTGCCATTCAACTCTCACGTGCTCCCTAGTCGTTTAAGCCCGAAGGGAAACTTTTATAAATCCTGAAAAACTGACAATAGAAAAACAGTCCAGGCAAACAAAACATGCAAACAGCCTACTTAACATCGCCTGCTAGTCCCATTGAAGTGTAAAAACTCAAGGGTTATCTACAAGGGAGTTAAGTAGACTCTGTCTTTAGACAATTAGGGTAATTCCAGGAGGGATAAACCACCGCCTGAGATGGACCAGTCGG